TTGCAATGCCTGCTGCAACAAGATTAGAGAAACCTTGGAAGCTCTTCCCAAGTCCACCATGCATCTGCCTGCCTCCTGTCCTTACTCACCAGGCTTCCTCCCTGTGTGGTCACCTGTAATGCTCCCGTAGCACGTGTGGACCCGAGTAAACACTGCTCATCTTCTCTCATCTAATACTCAGCGCAACACTCCCCATACATACCACTGTTATCGCTCCAGCTTACAGAATAAGTAACTGAGGCACAGAGAATTATGCCATCCAGATAACCTCCCCTAGTGAGGACCAGGATTCTCACAGCCAAGTGTAAAACACTAAGTGAAACAGTCACACCTGGGTCCAGGTTTGTGAAGGTGTGAGCTGAGCACAGAGGCTTCTCCAGCCTAGGTGAGCTCATCAGGCAGGGCCTCTCTTCAAGAGCAGAGACACCAAGCCAGGGGCTCCCCAGTCTCCAGGGGCTCCCCAGTCTCCAGTGCCCAAACGCTCCTGAAATGAGAGGTGCAGGCATTTGCTCCCCACTACCCTGGGGGTGCGCATCTTCCACACCTGAGTATCCCTAGCCAGTGATTTAATTCCTTTACTGGAAACTTGGTAAATATTTGCCAAATGAAAGAGAAGTGGAATAAATAACTCAACTCCAACCTGGAAAAATATGAAGCGTCCATCGTGCCTCCAGAAGTTGGTGACTGGGAAGCCGCCGTGACCCCGGCAGGGGATGAGCTTCAGTGGCCCATTGCAATTGGGGCAGCATTTCCCTACAGAAGGAAGGAAAGGCAGCCATGACTGCATTGTGGCCTGACTTCCTAGTCTGGGTAAGACTTGATTCCAGGAGACCAGAGAGTAAACCTTACTTACACACTTCCCTCCCCTGAACACTCTACCAGCCACTGACTGGCTCACAGGGGATACAGTAAATGACTGCCTGCCAGTGGGGGTATTTCACAGGTCAGAGAATACTTCAGAGCAAAAACTCTCCCTACTTACTTACTGGTATTTGAAATTCTTTGTGTAGAAAAGGAAGTGCTGTTTTATGATTCATAACTAGAGATTTAAAGGGCAGAGCTACACCACCAACTAAATTTTCACTACTGTGTAAATGACTGAGAGGAGCTGTTGTAGACACATTACTAGGAAGGCGCAGGATGTAGCAAGGAATAAGGTGGGTAAGAGCATCTACTTCACAACAAGTGCGTATGATAAGGAGAAAGAACACCAGCATGTAATTATGGTGTAAACCTAAATGGACAAAGTTGGGTCTACAAATTGAGTCCTCTAGCTGCCTCTCCCTGTGGGTGCATTTATTGAGATCACTTAAGGACACATTTCCCAAGGTGCCAGGTGACAAGCGTGAGAAAGTAATTTCTCTTAAACTTCCCATAGGTCAGTCTCCCTCTGATGCAATGGAGAGCTTTCACAAGGGAGCCTTGTGGATGGCAGGCCTCAAAGGCAGAGCCTGTGTCGGAACAGCCCTGCTTGCCACTGCACTCCAGTGGGAAAGGGTCCAACGGCCTGAGCATCTGACTGTGCTCCAGCATCCTGGCCACCATCCCCAAGCCTCACTCACTCTGCTGCTTCTGCCGGGCTTTGTCACAGATGGCAGGTCTCAAGTAGATCTTGTGCCCCTCCTCAGTAGAGCAGTCACGGCTACACACCACCACACCCAGGCATGACTTCTTCAGGATGCGGGAGTTGTGGTTGTTAGTGTTGCGCATGGCCCAGCTGCTCAGGTGCCGCTGTGCGTTCCTGTCCTCTGAGCTGTAGATGTGTTTCACGTAGGAGTCTGGCCACTCTTGGAACCAGTCAGTCTTTTTCACATTCTGATAGAAGCACAAAGATTCTATTACAGTTCCATCCAGAAAGCGCATGAGCTATCTCTTCAGAGTTGACAGCAGTAAAGGATGTTTGAGCCACTGAGAGCTGAGCAGGAGGCCTTTGGCAAAGCCTTATCTAGACTTAATCCTGGTTGTTTGATCTGTGAACACAGCACAATAGCTATAAAGCATCTGCTGTGCCCAGCAAGCATTTGGTCGCTGCTTGCACAGCGAGGTGGAATTTAGCCCATCTGAATTCTGATGGTGTTTCTCTAGTCCCTGGTGATAACAGTAGCAACCACTTCTCATTTTTGAGGATGAAGTAACATCAACTATAGAAAGCATTATGGCAGCTCAGTAAGACAACGTTCCTACCACACCATGTACCACCACAATGTCACCAGAGGTAAGCAGTGGAGAAACCATAGAGTTCTGGTTCAGAAAGTTCTGGAAACCCATTTTCTCCCTGTGGAATTGATTCTTTTCCTTTTCTCCACCCCACAGGCAGGCAGGCAGGCCAGGACTCGGGATGTGCTTCTGTTCTCCCTCAGCACAGCCCTGTTCCCTGCATGTGAGCATCAGACTGAGCTCTGCTGTACAAGGTCAGAGCTGTGTTTTTGTAGGTAGAGAGCCAGAGTATGAGTATTTTACCTACATGCATGTGAGTGCACCCATGCCATGCAATGCCCATGGAGGCCAGAAGAGACCCGCAGATACCCTGGACCTGGGGTTAGAGATGATTGTTAGCCACCATGTGGGTGCTGGACCTGAACCCTGGGTCCTTTGCAAGAGTAGCCAGTGCTCTTAACCACCGAGCCATCTCTCCAAATCTTATTCTTTAAAGATGCATTTTGTTTTTAAATTATGTGTCTGTGTGTGGGGATAGGGGGTATAGGGGGTATGTGCACGTGAGTGAGGGTGCTGGGTCACAGGTCTTGCAAGAGCATCAAGCCTTCTTAATCTCTGAGCCAGCTCTCCAGCTCCAAGTATTTTACTTTTTTTTTTTTTTTAACTTTTGTCTTGGCTTTAAAATTTACATATATACAGCTGTCCTGGAACTCACTATGTAGACCAGGCTGGCCTTGAACTCACAGAGATCCTCCTGCCTCTGCCTCCCAAGTGCTGGGATTAAAGGCATGTGCCACTATGCCTGGGAAAAAAAATATATATTTTATTTATTATTTTTATTTTATGTCTATGAGTGTATTGCCTGCATGTATGTAAATGCACCCCATGTCATGCAATGCCTGCAGAGATCAAAAAAGGCATTGGATCCCCTGGAACTGAAGTTATGGATGGTTGTTAGCCACTATGTGGGTGCTGGGATTGGAACCTGGGTCCTCTGCAAGAGCAGCAGTGCTCTTGACTGCTGAACCATCTCTCCAGACCCTTAAGCATTTATTTTAATTGGTTGAACTGCATCTCTTCTTAACTTTTAAAAGAACTTATGCTGAACATACATTAAAACATAAACAGTACATATTAGTACTGGAACTGGAGTTATAGACAGTTATTAGCCACTATGTGGGTGCTAGGATTCAAACCCTGGTCCTCTACAAGAGCAGTCAGTACTCTTAACCGCTAAGCCATCTCTCCAGCCCTGTATTTTACTTCTGAAATAATAAAAGTGCAGATTAAAGTACTAAAACATCTATTATCTTTAGTAATTTGAACTACAAAGAGTTGGTGGATTTGATTTGCATTATTCTAATACTGTGTGGAGTTCTCAAGATAAAAGAGACAAAAGGAAGCAGGAAGAACTTGGAGAAAGGCATGGATTTTTAGGTGAGTGACCCCACCCCCCAAGTTGGTTAGAACCATAAACCCCATGAGCCAGAAGAAGGGGCATGTGTTTGTGATGTTCTGACCAAAACTGAAGGCTTCCTATGTATAGAGAAGGTGACCTTCAGCATCTTTCAAGCTGTCTCTTCACGTAGGCATCCACCGATACCCTAGTTTTCCGGCTCCATTAATGAGGTGGCAGGCAGTGTATGAACTGAGAAATTGCTAGGAATGTGAACCAGGAGGCAGTTGTCTTGGCTGTTACTCACTCACTCTCGGTCTTTTGACTGAACATTCAGTGGAATCTTTGGCATCTTTTTATATTAAAATTAGTAAAAAATCCAGACACTTCAAATGTCAAATAACCGAAAGGACAAATGGACAGTAGGCATTTCCGAACGCCCTCTAATTCGGCATTAGAGAAGTCAAGTCTAAAACCAAATGACCATTCCCTAACCTTGTTAGCAATCCCCATGAGAGGCTTCCTTCTTTTTAGACCTTTTGTTTAATTTAATTTCTAACTTTTCATGAGTAACTCTTTGTTTTTGCTCTTGGTTAAGAAGTTTATAATTGAAAGAGAATATTCCCAGGGTTTCCACTTTCCACCATGTAAATCTAACAAATTTATATTTTGTCATCTCCTGGGTAACTTCGCTGGGAGTTTGATATTTCTATGACTTTTCTGTGTAATTTTTTTTTACCCCTTGTGTAATATTTTACTAGGAAATTTAATCCTGTGATTTACTCAGTACCTTTGAAGCTCTATGAGAACACAGAGCATTCTTTTTTTTTTTTTTTTTTTTTTTTTTTTGTTTTTTTGGGGGGTTTTTTTTTTTTTTTTTTTTGGTTTTTTTTTTTTTTTTTTTTTTTTTTTTTTTTTTTTTTTTGATATAGACAGGGTTCTCCTCGTAGCCCCAGCTGGCCTGGCATTCAATATGTTGAACAGGCTGGCCTCAATCTCACAGAAATCCACCCATCTTTGTCTCTCAAATGCTGGGATTAAAGGCGTGCAATACCACACCTGGCCTTAAAACACTCTTCATACCCCCTTCATTTTAATTTAATCATTTGAAGTTTTAATAGGATATCATAAGATTAGATATTACTATTATATAAAACTAATAAAATCAGCACCCAACACATATAATTGCTACAGTCAACTCACTATGATCAAATGTGATCCAATGTGATTAAATATACAGAAAGAGTTCAGACAGCCACCATTACTAACAATCTTGGGCTCATCCTCTGTGAAGGCAGAAGAGATTTTGCTGGCTAAAATCTTGACCCAGCAGTGAACTGATTGGAGTGCTAACCCACTTTGTACCTGATGCTGCCATTCTAGAGAATGTTTTCTCTACCAAGAAAAAAAAATGGACTCAAACTTTGGAATTGGATGGGGGATATAGCTTGGTGATAGGGTTCTTCCTAGATTGCATGAGGCCCAAATTCCATCCACAGTATTACAAATCAAAAGAAAACAAGCTGGGCATGGTAGTACATAGCTGTAATCTCAGCCAAGGTAAAAACAAAAAGCTCTTGAATTTGTGGCTTCCCTAAGCTACATAGTGAGACCCTGTCTCAAAGTAAGACAGATTGGAATTGTGTGAGTTAATGTTAATGAGTGGCTTTGGCTGTGGGTTTGACCTGACAGCTGCTCCGTGCTTGGACCAATCAAAGGCGACTGATTATATTTGAACTTTCTAGGTGCAAATGCAAATGAAATTTAAGGGGAATAGACAGGAAAGTACAACTGGTATAGTACAGCAGCCTGGAATAAGACTTCTGTCAGGGATGGCTATAGTCAAGTTTCAGAGCTGGTTCCATGGTGGAAGAATTGGTAGAAGTAGAAAGTTGGGCTTGAGGTTCACACCTGTGAACTCACCTGTTCTCCTGTGACTCAGGAGAACAAAGTCACAAGTTTGAAGCCACCCTAGTCTACAAGGTGAGTTCCAGACCAGCTAGTCAAGGCTATGTAAGTGAGACCCCACTGAAAGAGGGGAATGGAGGGGGAGGGAATCAAAGCTGTGATTCCAGGGGGCCAAGGAATTAACTCAGTGAGGCGCTTGCCACCAAGCCTGACAACTTGAGTTTGATCTCTGGGATCCACCTGGTCCAAGGGGAGAACTGACTCCTGCAAGTTGTCCTGATCTCTAAGCCGTAGTACAAATGCGTATACACAAGTAAATGCAACCAAAAAATTAAAACAGTATCCAAAAACAAGTGAGACGAACACAGCATCCTTTAGGATAGTCTACTTCTAAGGCACTATCCAGCCAGTGGTACCTCAAGTTTTCTTGCTTAATATCTGGACACAGCCCTGGTGTAGACCCCTAATTAGACTTGGGGTGTTACCCTGTCCCTTAAGCTTCAAAGCCACTTGTGAGAGGGTATCTCATGCCATACCACAGAGGGGTATGTTCCATCACATAGAGCTCTCTGAAGTTCCTCTAGCATTTTCTCCAAAGCATTGGTTCTATGTGCGCGCTGCTCTTGTTACCCCGGCTCAGAAGACCATGAGCTCAAACCCAAGCAAGGTAGCTGAGCTTAACCATGCAGGTAGCCCAGGTTACTCATACAGGGTAGCTGAAGTGGATCTCCCCAGGGTCTTAGAACCTGCTGGTGTCTGGGGTGTTGTAGACATTTAAAAAGTCTGAAATCCTGTTGAGGACGTTATTGCTCAATGTTGTCAAAAACCAAACAATAAACCTTGCCACGTGTGAGGGGTGCAAGGGATGTGGATATTTTAGGGCCAGAAAATTGGCATTTGAGTAACCAATCAAACAAAATCACCAAGTTAGCATTTATTCTTTGAAAGAAGCATGTGAGATGAATAGGGGATTTTCTCACATGTCAGAGAAGAAATTATTTTGAATAGAATGTAAAATTTTGAAAAACTATGAGTTATTCATACAGGTGTGACAGAGAATGTAATTGGGAAAATTGGTAATAAAGCAAGGCATTGCATTGGGTCTTATGAGTCATATTTTTGGTCCTTCGACAGGTGACATGAGGAATATTAATTCCCTAAGGACTCCATGAAAAGAGAGCTCCATGGTAATAAACAAAAACAAAAACACCTAGGGTAACACCTATTACCACAGCCACTGAGGCGAGGCAACAGCCTCCCCGTCAGGACGGTAGAAAACACGAGTCAGCAGTAATAAAGCCCGCTCAACTGCTGAACCCAGTATTGCCTTTTGCCTGTCATCATACCGTACATTTAACAATATCTTTAAAAATTCCTCCTAACATCTACTGCACAGAACATACTTTAGGAAACACTGGCCTAAACAATTAAAGGCAGGGTCTAGAGAGATGACTCAGTGGTTAAGAATACCTGCTGTTCTTGCAGAAGACCCAGCTTTGGTTCCCAGCACCTATATGGTGGCTCACAACCATTTGTTAAACTCCAGTTCTACAGACCCTGACACCCTTCTCTGGCCTCTGTGGACGTTATGCATTTACACACATGCATGCAAACCCTCATACACATGAAATAAAAATACCTATTTTTTAAAGACAGAGGCAGGATATGTAAGGAATTCCTATTTTCATTTTACAGATGCGGAATTAAAGCCCTAAGAAAATCAATTTGTCCTGAATTAGTAGAAAATAAGCGATGGAGCTGTTCATTAATGAATTCCACAGCCATCATTTGTTTGCTGATACCAGCCAGGCAAGTTGTACCCTCCACTCAATTCCAAGATTTAAGTCCGTTTTTTCTCTTGGTAAAGAAACCATTCCCTAGAAGAGCAGAGTCAAGAACAAAGGGGGTTAGAGCTCCAATTGGTTAGAAGGCAGAGGAGCATTTTCATAAGTTTGAGGTCAGCCTAGGCCACACAGGGAATTTGAATTCCAGTCTAGCTCAGGCTACAGAATGAGACCCTGCCTCAAAAACCTAAATAAATAAATACAACCATGTTTCAGGCACAGGTTGATAGTTTCAGAATCCCTGACTATTGGGATCAGTACATGTAAAGGAGACCGTTGGGTACAACTGTGTCATTTTCAGAAGAAGAAAAGGAATTTTTGAAGAGGTAAATAATTCTCGGAGGCTCCACAAATAAAGAGACGTGCTACTGGAGCTCAGATCCAGGGCCTCTGTCTCCAAGTCTTGAGCTCCTCATACTGTACCCTCTGCCTTCAGATATGTTCCAAATAGAAGAAGCTCTGTTGTTCAGAGATCCTTCCAAGATCTTTTCTTTTTCACCTGAACTAGGTGTAGCTATAATTCCAGAGTTAGCATAAACCTAGTTCAGGATGGAGTCCAGTCTGTTCAGAAAATACAAAGGGATATTTATATTTGCACTTTAAATGACTTCCCTGGTGCATTTACCAAGCTGAAGGACACCTAGCTACTTCCGTAAACACTCCTGCTGCCTTTTCTGCTAGCTACAAAGGGTAGAGTTCCAAAACGGAACATGCATTCTTGCCATACATTTTTTTTTTTTTTTTTCCTGTTTTAAGTAGCTAAGCATGCTTTGGGCTTGGGAAATTCATGTTGGAACATGAGCGTCAGAGTCCCGAGTTTCCCTCCAGGGAAGTAATTCTTTCCCTTTTGTTTATGGATCTGATGAATGATAAGGGTCTTCTGCCTAGAAAAAAAAAAAAATTGTGTGTGTTTTTTTGTTTGTTTGTTTGTTTTTTGCTTTTTCAGATAGGGTCTCCCTTTGTAGCCCCGGCTGGCCTGGAACCTGCTATACAGACCAGGCTGGCCTCAAAGATCTGCCTGCCTCTGCCTCATGAATGCTGGATTAAAGGCCACACCTAGAAAAATGCATGTTGGTGCACAGTGCTATCCACCATTTCAAGGAGTTTGGACTCACCGAGATCTATTCTAATATGTGGAGTCTCAGCCTTTCCCACTTGCTGCTGACTTCAGCTCCAGGTGTTCTGCCTAGCCCATGTTTTGGAGTTGCAAGCATGAAATTGGAAATATGAACAAATCTGGGTCTCTGAGCCAAAAGCAATTAGAATGTGAAGTTTCCCTAAAACAGCCATAATAATTGCAGCATCAATCAAGAGCAACTGCAAACAAAAGTCCTCAAAATGGATATTTGCACGCCTTAACTGTGGTTTATTTTACTACCATCAAATGAGTGGGAAGTGGAAGTACTTTCTGTCTTCTCTCAAGGCTTACCAAGGGGGACTGTAAGGAGAATTTAAGGAAAAACAAAAAGAAATTAAAGGAAGTGAAAACTCAGAATGGTTATAAGTTGAGACTGGAATCTCCATCCATTCCCCTGCTTGGGGTAGTTCAAATTCCCTGTTCCCAGAATCAGAGATGGCACCAACCTTTTCAATATTTGGTACTAGGAGGCTCCAGCCCTACTACTGTTCCTAGTGACCTTTTCAAGCACCTTTCAGTGAAAAGATCTTCAAATACCAGACAGGAAGGAATGATAAAGAACTGATGCTTTCAATCAAATTTAGAGTTCACAAGTCAGGGGCTGGAGTGATGACTCAGAAGTTAAGAGTAGTGATTGCTCTTGCAGAGGACCCTAGTTCAGTTCCCCAGCACCCACATGGAAGCTAACAACCATCCTTAACTCTAGTTCCAGGGAATCCAGTGCCCTCATCTGGTCTCCTTTGGCATTGCATGTATATGATGCCTTCATGAAGGCAAAACCCTCATACACCAAATAAATAAATAAATAAATAAATAAATAATAAATAATAAATCACAAGTCAGGTGCTAGTTGGGCATGGCTATGTACGCTTATGAGGCAGAAGCAAGTAGGTTGTGAGTTCAAGGCAGTCTGAGCTACATAGGGGGTTTAAGGCCAGCTTAGCTACTTAGTATGACCCTGCCTCAAACACCACACACACACACACACACACACACACACACCAGCCAAGTCACAATGGAGGCCAAAGACCACATGAAATGATAAGTTCTGTGACGTAGTGTGAAAGCAACCCAGTAAGCCCTATGTACAATATTTACACGAGTCCCACAAGGCTGTGCTGTGTTTCACATAAACACTATTGTTCAACAATTCCAACATTATGTTTAATTTCTAAAATACTGTAGCAAAGAAGGGTATGGGGGCTTATGCATCATGAAGAGTCAATCCACAGGCAAATGAACTGAGTGATAAGCGAGACACACCAGCTTGGAGAGTGCTTTGTCTCAGTCTATGCCTGGAGTGTCTGGTAAGAGCTATTCAAATCCCAGGACTTTCATCTCCTGAAACACCTCAGCTGGGTGTTCAGCTGAAGCTCTGAAGTAGTTTAGCCGGCTAGGTAGGCCCTCAACCCACTCCCTTCTGGTTCCTGGCAGGTTAGTTGTCAGGCTTCCGTCAAGGGCTTCAGTCCTACAAATGCATACCTGTGGCAGTTTCATATCGTTAATATCCCAGCTCAGTATCTCTTTGTCTTCGGAATCAAAGTCGTCCAGCTCCATGGTACTGTCAGGCCTCACTGCCTCTGGTCAGCCTCTCAGATGAGCTGGCGAATTCTGTGCTCACAGCTCCCAGGTTTGTATATCTGGATCTGTCCACGAAAGTAGCTTAGGAGGCCGGTTTCCAAGACTAAGAAAATAAATGATGGTAATATTGATGATTTAAGAGATGAGGAACTGTTAAGCTGGAATTGGTGGCTCATGCCCCAGAGGCCAAGGCAGGAGGATGTCCATGGGTTCAGGGCCAGCCTGGGTTACAGTTGTAAGACTGTCTCATGTAAGGGGGGTTGTGGGGAACAGCAAAATGTTCTAGCCAGTAAAGGTACTTGCTGCCAAGCCTGACCACCTGAATTCCATTCAGAATCCACAGGGTAGAAGGACAGAACTAACTCCAAGCTGTCCTTTGACCTCTGTGAGCATGTGCACCCCCCCACGCAAATATAAAAGTTAAAGCAAAATAGAACAATACAAAAAAACCAATGTAGCCTTTGTCTGCCAGAAATATCTATTTCATTGACATTTTTGCAAGTACCAACTACTAATAAAAGACAAACTGCAGAAGCCACTACAGTTAGCTGCATAAAGCTTGTCTGGGGCTAGGTTGTGGCCACCATTGGCTGCGATGGTCGCCGCTCTCTTCCTCCTCGTAAATTCAGGTTCTGAGAGCCGGCGCCATCGCAGCCTGTAGCTAATGGGTTAGACTTGTTTCTACATAAATTTTGTAAATTTACCTAAAGATACACAGCGCACCCATAGGATATATTGAGAGATCAAAATTAATCCCTATAGCTATTTGAATTAGCAAAGCTATTCAAAGACAAATTGATTGTACTGTTCCCTACTTGTAACTCCAATGGTGTTAGCTAGTTTATGAAGGCAGTTTGGGTAAATTTATATAATTTATACAGAAACTGCACTAAGTTCTAACTAATTGGTTAGGAGGAGCGGAAGGAAGGGAAATGGAGGGAGAGGGGAGGGAACTTGAAATGTTCTGAGGAAAAAACGGACCGTCTTTTTGCAGATGAAACGTTTCAATTAATAGGATTCACAGAGAAGCATGTTCACGTGTTGGTACGTGAACTTAGGAAAAGAAGGGGCATGATGTTATTACGTAGGCCACTTAATAAAGTCAAATGACAAGTCGAAACAGTCTGAAATTTAAGTTGCACCTCCTTTATCACCTTCCCACACTCAGCTGCAGGCCTGTGGTCACAGCCTAAAAAGCATGAAGTCCCTTCCTCTTGTTCAAACATTGACATTCAAGACTAATGCTTGAGAGGTTTGCAGCTGTTTTTATTTTTGTTTTTGTGTTTGCGGTGCTGAGGTTTGAACCCGGGACCCTGTACTGCACCACTGAGCTATACCCACAGCCCACCACGGGTAATTTTTAAGTAAATTTCTGTTTTTAGGAAATAAACATTGAGCTGCTGAAAAAAATGATTGACACCCTAATTGAAACAGCTTAAGTGACAACTACAGAAGACATGAATGTTGTTACAGTTTGCACACGTACCTCTTTGAATAACAATAACTGCCAGCCCACATTTTGGTATAACTAATTAGCACAGATAAGTTTTTAGGGCTAAGGGTGCAGCTTAGTAGTAGAATGCACACATGATCCCCCACCCACCCAAAACAGCATAGATTTATTTTTTAACTTTGGGAAACAAGATTTATACCGTCCAAACCCCAAAAATGTCATTTTAAACTGAGGCTAGACTGTTTTATCCTCTTAAGCAAATGAGTTCGGTCTTTCCCCAGATTAAAAACAAATTCTAAATTTGACAAGACTTCCTTTTTTCCAAATATCTTGACCAAAATGTATTCAGTTTCACTGTTCTGCAGAACTGGACCTAGAACAAACGATAGTGTGGGAGTGTGCGGTATGGCCATATGACTTACATTTTCCAGCCTTCCTTCGGGCGTCTTATCCAGGTGTCACACAAGTGTCATCCCTGGCTCAGGTGCCGCAGGGCTCTGGGTCATTTTCTGAGTGGACACTGTTCCCTAATCCAGGTCAGGGTACACTATGCTAATGACTTTGTCAGCTGTCCAATCAAAATCTAGATGCTTTCAGCTTGGAACAGGTAAGAGCAGCCTGGCCCTTCGCAGCATGCCAGCAGGCGATGAATATTCTATGATGTGCCTCTGAACTTTCCCCTCCTTTATGTTAAGAAGATAGTTTAACTTAAAAGGACATTAAAAAAGAACCTCATGAGGACTACAGATTGCTTTCCTTACAGTTTTACACGTTGAATGTAAGACCAACTGATTCGCAGCATACTCTAATTCTCCCAACATGTATCCTGCCTCACTTGAGAGCCAAGGCAGACACACATAGAGGTAGAGATGGTGGTGGAAATCCCTTAAATGGTTATTCACTAGCCAACATGGAAAATAGACGCACCAAAATGCTGTTGTCATGTAACAATGATGACGCCCTAATTCTGAATGTTCCAATCCTCCCAAATAACGCAATTTCTTTCTCAAGTTATTCTTGGTGCAGTTCTTTTCTTCCAGAGACATCCTCAGCATACCACGTCAGCTCAGCTCCTCTGCTCTGTCCCAAGTAGTGGAGTAGGCTCTAGAAATCAAAAGAATTAAAGCCATTAAGAAGTACTCCATAGCTGGGTATGGTGATTCAAGCCTATAATCCCAGGGCTCAGATGGTAAACAGAGGGTCTCTGCAAGTTTCAGGTCAGCCTGGGATAAATAGCAAGTCTGTCTCTAGAGGATCTTTCCCCACCTCTGTGTCTAAATCTCATCCACCTTCCAGGAGACTTAAAATGTCCTGATGATACCCTCTCCAACACTCTTCTAGACATACGACGTCTGGTCCCTATGGTATTCCAGAACTCTTAGCTATATCACTTACTACTAAGATTGTTTTTCTATTTGCAAGATAAATTCATGATCTGGTATTGCTGGTGTTTTCATCCTGTCCTTTCAGACTTTTGCTTTTCTCCATGTATATCAAACATAGACATTGTCTGCCTCATTATAATCACATTGTTGACAGACTCCCTTAGCATTGCTGACTTGTGTTAGTCCCATATTTCCAGCTAGAATGCTACTCCTGGGGATGAAGTTGCCATCTTCTGCCTCCTTCCTTTTCCTCACAGGAAGACAAACTGGGTTCCAGCTGCAGTCAAAGTCCATCCTCTTCCATTCCAGACAGTCTCAATGTGTAGCCCAAGCTGACGTCAAACCTGAGACCCTCCTGCTCCAACCTCCCAAGTACTGGGGTTCAGACATGTACCACCATACTTGACTAGGTACCATTCTTATTTTGCCTTTCTCATAAAGGAGAAAAATTAAGGCTCAGAAAAGCAACACTGCACAAGCATCTTAAGTGGAAGCATTGTAGAACTCAGACATGCCAGAGAGCCTGTTCTGGTCAGCCTGATCTTCAGCAGCTTTTGTTTAGAGTTCTCTATGTCCCTTTCTCATCTCCACCTTCCCTCTGGAGAAGCAACCCTGCATTAAGCCAGGTGGCTAGAAGCCCTACTGCCAGAGAGCGACCTCAGCCACTGATTGATGCTTGCTCTCCATCCCTGTCAATCTGTCACCAGCCTATTGGGGTCTTTCTGATTTCTTCCACGGGTGGTAATACTTTGAGGTATTTTAGGCCTGATAACTCTCTTTGCGTGGGGCTGTCTCATGCACTAAATCCTCCACTACATGCCTGCTACATCCTGGTCTTGATGTCCCAGAACCCAGATGTCAGTCAGAACTTACTGCCACCATGTTCCCAATTGTCAGAGAAGGAAAGACTCATAATCACACTGTCTGGTTCAGAACTGCTTTCCAGACTCTGGGTGCTGATGCTTTTTCCTGTCACCTCTCATCTCTACATGATGGATGGACTTCTTTCACACTTAGAGCTGTCTGTCTTCCCAGTATCTATGTCAGTCAATTCTCCAAAGCCTAGCTCCCCAGTTCCACATTGCCTGGTCCCTCTACTATGGTGTCTTATTAGCATTTACTGTGTGCTAGGTATTAATTGAATCCTTACAATTGCCTCATGAAATACGTACTAAACTATACTAGCAGGAAATTATTAAGAGGAACTAAGGCCCAAGAAGGGTAGGTAATTTAATCTTTATAAGAGCATAAGTAACTGATTTATTAATACCCCCAAATTAACAATAGCCAAAGGAGAAATATCAGCTAAAGAAGGCTAATATTCAAAACCTTTTTTTTTTTTTTTTTCTGGCATGATCACTCACACCTTTAATCCAGCACTCAGGAGGCAAAGGCAGGTGCTGAGGTCAAGGTCAGCCTGGTCTACTAGGCAATGCCAAGCCAGCTGGGGCTACAGGGTGACCCCATCTCAAAAGCAAACAAACCAACAAAAATCATTTTCTTAGCTGTGGAAAAAATCCGCCTAGCATTCTGGCCTCTTCTGGAATCAGCAGTCCCTGCCTCCGTACCTCACCATCTTTTAGAAGCCTGCTTTTGCCCCCTGAGGCTATCCATTAGAACTTTCTGTCCCTTCTGGCAGGGGACCCAGTCTGACCTAGATTTTCCCTGGAATTTTCCAAATTAGAGGTGGGGAGGATCACTCTTTCATCTCAGATGCCAAATGTAAGGCTGACCTCAGACCTGCTGATGCTCATCTCTGCCGCACAGCAGAATTTAAAGGCCTGGAGCCGGCCAGGAGAGAAAAATGGACTGGGAGGGGACGGGAGCCGAGACCCTAGCCTGAGGCCGTTCCTGGCCTTGCCCTTCCCCACTAGGTGACCAGCATATGTCTTGCATACTTTCAATCCTTAGAACGGGGCTTTTCAACTTACACTTGCTAGAGATTTCCTAATGCATTTCCCACCCTCCTCATCAAGGTGAGCCTGAGCTATCCCCTACTTCCAAATAAACCAATTTCCTTTATCACTTACGCATCTAACAGTGGGCATCACAAGTGGTTTGCCTGGCATCCCTTAAAATTATGAAATGTTTTGTGAAGTGTCACCTGACTCAATGTGAAGGACAGAGAATGACCACAG